AATTGGGGCATTTATAAATAACATAGCTTTTAAAGGTGTTCCACAGATTTAAGTCCATTTCTCCACAAACACTCTTCCTATAAGCCACTGTACTGAGAGACACTCCCTATGTTTTGTGATTATAAGACCTAGCCCGGCTTGGTGGCTTACAGCCTGTAATCCCAGCACTTTGGGAGGCCGAGGCGAGTGGATTGCTTGAGCCCACAGGTTCAAGACCAACCCAGGCAACTTGGCGAGACCTCATCTCTACAATAAAAATTAGCCAAATGTGGTAGCACATGCCTGTAGTTCTTGCTACTTGGACGGTTGAGGCTGAAGGATCGCGGGAGCCCAGCAGGTCAACGCTGGAGTAGCCGTGAATGTGCCACTGTACTCCAGCCGGAGTGACGAGACTCCAACTCAAAAATAAAAATAAAAAATACTTTTAACTTGACAAGATACTGATACCTAGCAATATGAAACTTTGAAGAACATGACAATAATAAAAACTTGGAATTAGAAACCAGAATTTTTAAAATGTCTCCTAATCCAACCCTTTTAAATGAAGACAACCTAATATTTTATTTTTTGAGACTGTATCCCACGCTGCCCAGGCGACAGTATAACAGTGGCAATGTACAGTGGCAGTGCAACCTCAAATTCCTGGGCTCAAGGGATCCTGCGCCTCAGGTTCCTGAGTAGGAAAAGTAATTATTGCTGTAGTTTAAATGTGTTCCCCAAATTTCATGTGTTGGAAACTTAATCTCCAAATTCATATGCTGGTATTTGGAGGCAGAGCCTTTGGGAGGTAATTAGGATTAAATAAGGTCATCGGAGTGGAGCCCCCATGATGACACTGGTGGCTTTATAAGAAGAGAAGAGTGACCTGAGCTGATAGGCACACACTCTCACTGTGCAATGCCATGTTTTGACAGAGCATAAGGCCTGACCAGATACTGCTGTCATGCTCTTAGTCTTCCCAGCTTCCAGAATTGTAAGAAATAAATTTCTTTATAAATTACCCCCATCTCAGGCATTCAGTTATACTCAGGAAATTGACTAAGAATTATTTACCTTATGTCAAATTATTTACTATTAAAGGGGACGACCAAAGTCTCTTGGCTTCTAGCTTTCTAATTCCAAAGCTGATTTCCCTTTTACTCTATATTTGTATATATCCTGCACAGAAATTCACTTCAGTTAACATGAAAGACTAATAGTTGGTGAGAATTTAGGAACTCTAGCCAGCACTACCAGTATGATATTAAGACTTTACACATATGAATTGATGATCTGTGTTTTTTGCTTTCCTTAATTACAGACATAAAGGCTGTATATAAACATAAATATGAGCTTTTAAAAAATATTTTTAATAATGGCTATTTCAAACAAAATGTGAAGTTTTGGGGAGCTTCCTGGTTAATACTGAACTAGATGATATTTAAGATCCCTTCCTTTTCTGACATAATTTTAAATAGAAATAGAAACTAGTGTTGTCAGTAATAAGTATATGCTCAATATAATAGGTGAAGCCTATGGGCAGGAAAAAAATAAAGATAATTTGAAAAAATGGCCACATAGGAAATTTATTTTGAATTTTAAATTCGGAGGCTAATAACAAATATTTAACATTCATGATGGAGCATAACAAGGAAGTTAATTTCTTGGCATCAGCAAGCTGAAAATCATTTAGTACAACAGTAAACATTTTAAAGTCAGATAAAAAGGAAACTCAATTTTCTATGACAACAAAATCTCCAATTACAGCTTCTGAATCAAAAAGAAAACAAACTTTTCCTATACAGTTTTCTTTAGATCACTCATACTTTCATTATGTTTATTTTTATCCAATTGTCCTAGTTATAAAGGCCAAAAACCTATCCAGAATTATGGAAAAATGACTATGACGCAATATTAAGTTCTTCATCTATGTATTTTAGCTGCTCAAGTGTTTAGTGGCAGTTTGTTTTTGAAAAACTTTACAATGTGCCAATTTTTGAAATAATATATGAACATTTTCCCAACATGCTCTCAATTCCCTTCGATACCTAGGATGCAAAGCCTTCCTTACAATAATTCCTTGCAGAACTTTTTAATAAAAGGATATGTGCATATAAAATTGTACACTGCAACTGTAACATCAGTCACAGGACTTTTTGATGATGAGAACCAATTATAAATAATGGTTTTAATGTCCTTGTTTAGATAGGTTTTATTTTTCCTTTAAATGGAAATTTATCAAGACTTGGCAATGATTATCCTAGATAACCTGCTGCAGACAAAGACATACATTATCAAATAAGTCAGTCTGGTTCTGAGTAGTGTATTTTTTAATCTGAATTTTAATTGGTGGAACACTATTCAGAGAAAGGACTAGTTTCTTTTTCTGTGCTGCCTCCACTCTCCTCAGGGAACAGAAGATCCTAAGTGACCTCAGAGATTAGCGTTTCTGAGATCTCTGGGGTTCTTACTACCATTCTGACTTAGAGTAAATGGTGACCCATTTTCTGAAACTGAGGGTCTGACATATCCAATCTTCCTTGGAAATGTGATAAGCAGCCTAACTTCAAGTAAATGAAGTTAATAACAACCATTTCCAGTGTTTCATTAAGGATAAAACAAATTGATATAGTTTGTGACGTCTTTTGCAGCTTTGACTTTGAATAAGGATGACAAGCAAGTTAAATATTACAATAGGAAACCAAAAAAAAAGTAAATGTCTAAATAACAGAACACTGGATGGCAAAAGTTTTCTCAAATACTTTAAGAATAATTGTAAGGAAAGAAACTAAGTGCAGAATAAGAAAACAATGGAGTTAAAAGCTTTTAAGAATTTGGGTTAAGACAGAATTTTCTGATACTGTTCTCTAGACTCTGAAGACCACCTTCAGTTTTGAGGCAGAGGATTCATTCACAAAACACTTAGGGCTCTGGAATCATTGAAAAATGAATCATTTATTAAATTTTCATAGAGCCCCCATCTCTGTGCTTTATGGACATTAATAGGAATTATGCCTCAAGTTTCAGTCCCTCAACATACTGAGTGAGAATAACTGGATCTTGTTATTTGCTCATCACTGCCTCAGATCTTAGATGTGGCTTTAGCTTTCTTGAAATTATAAACTGCAATGAGAAAATTCTTCAGAGTGAAGATATGTAATCTCAGGTTAAGCTATTTCAATGATAACTCACTTTTTCTTTCAGGCAATGGAATCACTAACAACTGTCTTCATGCCAACAGAAAAAGAAGAAAATAATACAGTTCCTAGGTTAAAGAAGAAATCTACTCTCTCAAAATTTCCAAAGCATCTTCCCGATTCGGAAGTTTTCCAAGCCCTGCATCTTAACTCAGAAAAACACTTAAGGTCTTCCTGCAATTAAACTTGATTTGTCCATTGCTTGGAAATATGTGTTACCTGTCACACAAAGGAGTGTAGTGCTTCAAAACAGCATTATCAGAACAGCAGTCGAAAGGAACAGTTGAAGTCCAGGAATACAAGCAAGTTCATGAGTTCGTGCTTCCCTATTTATCAAGAATATACTTTGATTTAATTAAGAGGTTATTTATTTGGAACCTGCAAACCAAGAAAAAGTGTTTACGTATATTTTGCAAGGAAGTGAACGTTCTGATTTATTCTTCAAAAAGTAGGTTGAAATAGTTCTCACGTTTGATTTTATGGTAGAAGTGTGGTTTAGAAAAAGGTAATCTTGTAGGTCAGGTGCGGTGGCTCAAGCCTGTAATCCCAGCACTTTGGAAAGCGAGGCGAGAGTGCCTGAGTCCAGGGGTTCGAGACCAGCCTGGGCAACTTGGTGAGCCCTCGTCTCTGCAATCAAGAATCCAAAAGAATTAGCCGGGCGTGGTGGCGTGCGCCTGTAGTTCCAGCTACCTGGAGGGTTGAGGTGGAAGGATCGCCTGAGCCCAGCAGGTTGAGGCTGCGGTGGCCGTGAGCGTGCCGATGCACTCTAGCCTGGGCGACAGAGTGAGACTTCATCTCATAAAAAAAAGAGGTAATCTTAAAAAGGTCACAAAAATAACAGGCCGAAAGTATGCACGGGCGCTATAGGGATGGAGGGAGCAATGGGAAAATGGGAGCGCGCAGAACGCGGCTCTGGAAACGATACCTGTCCCACGATGCACGCTGCTGTCGCCTTGCACCGAGCTCCCAGAGAGCTCATTTACAACATCCTGGAGCGGGCCTTGAGGAGACGAGACTCCTAGGGAGGGAAACAGAACAGACATGATTCTGTTCTCGGCAGCCCCGGAGCGAGGGCACGGTCCCGATGGGGACAGCGGCGTTTCTTCCCAGGCTGCCAGGCTCTCCACCTGTTTCCTGTGGTCCCTCCTCAGTCAGCCCCAGGCGGTGGACCCGCCTGCCAAAGTTGTCGCAAGAGCCCCCGAGGACCCAGACAGCAAGTTTCCTCGGTCTTGCCCGTCGCAGCCTCCTGGCCCCACGCGCGTGGCCCCCACGGCAACCTCCGCCCGACTCGGCTTGTTTCGCTCCCATCCTGCCGTCCTCCGGGCCGGGAAGCGCGGGCCCGCGCGGAGACGCTCGGGAGGGCCCGGCGCGGCGGCCGCGCGGTTACCGCACCCTCTGGGGCAGGGGC